ATGTGTGTGTGTTTGTGTGTGTGTATGTGTGTGTGTTTGTGTGTGTGTAAATTATACCAGATCATAATGCAAATATACCTAATATACGTAATGTACCTAACACACATAATAAACATAATACACCGAATATATTTATATATATATATATATACATTCTTGTGTATGTACGTATGTGTTGATATGTGGCTTTGCGGATGTGTGTAAGTGTATACGTGTAATGTGTTTGAATATATGTGTATATGGGTATAAGGATAGGCATGGATGTGCATGTTTGTGCAAGTATGTGCATGTGGAATGAGGGGTTGCGTGTGTGATCATAATCATACTTCGATTTTACCATTGTGCACAGTAAAGATATAGCTATCTAATGCGATCGATTATGACCCAACGTACATAGCAAAGTCCAAATTCATGCGCAACTCATCTTTCGATCCTATATAACTTACGAGGAACTTGTAATGAAGCATCGTTCTCGTCGTAACTGCCAGAGTATACCGACGAGCTTCCCTCCTCGTTGTTTGAGCTGAAGTCTTCAGACATTATATATAGTGTGTATGAGAGTACTGGGTAACGTGTGTGTGGGTTCCGCGCTGGTGTTTACAGTATTATACTACCCATTGCCCTCGGATACATTTATCCGCTTTAACACTGACAAGAGCAGCACCAAAGATGACCTGTCACGTTCACAGAAACAAAAAAAAACGCATGATCACTCTTGTGTCAAAAGTGGGGGATATGCGGCAGCAGGACTGCACACGAGAGCCATTTGAAATAAAACATTTTAATTTAAAACAGATGTATGTTTCCATCCTTGTGTCGCAAATACTTTTTCTCAGTGCAGCCTACTGAACTTAGCGTAAATAGTCTCAAAAAAAACACCTTCTAGAAACGTGTAGGATATTTCATATTTTTTTGGAAGATATTCTAACGATGCATATTATATTCTGATGTCGCAAATTTGTGTTTAGCTCACTTTATACACTTTATATACATTCTAGTGCTAGAGTTTAGACTCGACTTGTTGGCTTTCCAAAAAGAGACACTACACTCTCCATAGTCTCTATTCCCTCTACAATCTACATACTATGAAAATACTACTATGTAATCGACCACCATTTGCAAAAGTAAACAAAAACACCATTGGTAGATACATACATACTCCATTCGACAACCTCTTTACTTATAATACATAATACTACTACACTGCTACACATATCTATATCCAACATATACACCCACAGACAACAATCTATACACGATACATCAAAAGACAATTTATATCCAATATATCCAAAGTTTAGATTGAGAGGTATTCAAAACCTTACACTTCTGTACAATGACACAGCCTGGTTCCAAGATTTACAAGGAGATACAGAGCAAGGATGGAGATCTATTTACAATACAACCTATGCTTGAAAATGACTACAGTCAGTGCGTAAAGCTGTGTACAAATGCCTTTGTCAAGAACAACGCTGTCATTATGCACTTAAATATACCCGAGCCTCAGCTATACGAACATTTCGAGGAACACTTACGGCCCTGCATGGAAAGCGGTCTATCTCTGGTTGTTAAATCGAGCGACAATTCCATAGCATCCATGTTATTCCTGGAAACTTTTAATATATATGACACTTACACACCGCCTCTGGAGAGTGGAATGCAACCTCTGTATAGGATAGGAAAGAAAAGCTACTTAGAAGCTGTCACGAAGAACCCAGAGATACTGCAGGCTGCAGCTAGGTATATGACGATGCGAGTAAACATGGGTGCCACTGACGTAGCGTATGACGGTCACGGTTTGGGTACGCAGCTCAGATTGTATGTCGAGACGCACGCGCGTGATCTGGGCTACGAATGCATTACAGTAGAGCCGATCAGCAACGCGACCAGACACATATATGAGAAATTCGAGTGGACTTTGCTGGCGAATGTAACACTTGCCAACGATGTGGACAAGAATGGCTCGAGGCCTTTTGATGGCTTAGACGAAGGTGAACGCTATACGATATTTATGAAGAACTTGAGCCCTAGTCCTGTGTATAGTAAGCCTATAGCCTGGTGTGTATTGGCGGCTTTGAAGTTGGGGCTCGTACGATAGAAAGTTTAGAGACAAGACTGTTAGGTAGAGTATGGTTTTAGTATACTGCAGTGCAGTCTGAGTAAAAGACAAGAAAAGAGGTAAGAATATTCACAACCTTATGGGAGGGTTTGACGTGTGTGTCTCAAAAGCTAGGCCTGTATGGGATATATGATATTGGTAGCTATGGCGACTTGAACTGCGACTCCCTCGGAAGTAGCATGACAAATGCTCCGAGCTGTGTTGCAACTATAGGCAACTCTTTTTAAGGTCCAATGGGTCGTTCGCGACACTTTGATACTGTGGCTCTATCAGGATGCGCTCGCCAAATAGTTCTTTAAACGAGTGGACATATTCAGTGTGTGCGCTTCAAGCGAATGATAGAGTGAGAGATGTCTGACGATGCTTGGTGTTGGCACTGCAGTCCTAAGTAAGCTGAATAATGCAACAGTTCAGTAATATTTGCAACGCAGTTGGTCGCATACCCGATGATGTGCGGTATAATCACTCAACCTTGTAAGTAGATACAGAATTTAGTATCGTATCAATAAATTGCATCAATTCAAATAGACACTGTGTGTAGTCGACCGCTCGCTGCTTTTGGTATAATAGTCAGAATATGCTATCCCTATTTACCACTTATCAAGACGTGATACGTGTCTTTCCAATCCCTTCGTGGGAAGCGTATACCTTTGAAATAAAGCTACATATATTTTTTTCAATTGTAGAGACATTGATTACGAATGAAATATACACGACTGCGACTGAGGCGGACCCTTCATTGTACTATCCGGTTATGTCATTTGATTCAAAGCGTTAGTGATTGTGTTTCCGTATTTATACCCCTCACAAGTATCGCTCTGGTAACCAGGCAACCCCGTTAAAATGAACTCGCGAGCGCGGGCCCATATTTTGGCAGAGTCTTGTGTGCAGCAATCTTTGCACTCCTACAAAGCATGAATGAAAGGAGGTTAAATAGCTCTGACATGCATGCGAGGGGGGTAGTCTATCTGGGAATAACAAGTCGTGAACATTGCTTGCTTGGTCGATGATGTGGCACCTATGAATAACTCTACTACGATAGCGATTGAAAAGTGGTTTTTGAGACATCGTAGTCTGGTATAAACATTCAACACCCTAGTCATACAGCCCCGTAGATGGTGCGTGCAATTAAAGCTTAGGTCTCATAACCATTGGGGACCTTGGGCCGTCGAGACAGACCCGCAACACACTGTACTCGCCATCAATGGGACACTGGCTGCACAGCGCTTTGCTCACCCCCCCTTACCCACGCGCCACTATGAACGCCTACGCGTGTTTTGGTGGTTGAGTGATTGCAGAGGTTGTCAAGCATAAAAGGACAATCGCTCGCAGATATCTATACCCACGACCTCCCACCCTGAGCACGCAGCCCCAATTATCCTCAATCTTGAAGGTTTGTTCATTGACCCGTGAATTTGGACAGTATAGCTCCTAAGATAAAACTGACCGACTACGACTCAACACAGGGGGGGGGAGCACCAAGAAAATAGGACACCTTTGAACGAATGATCTGCCTTTGGACCAAATCTCGCAGACTCAATACCTCGATATCGGTTTATTTAATAATTGTCATATAGCAGCAAGAAACCAGCCTCGAAATATCGCTCACAGCACTGGCGAGTATGCGTACAGTACTGGCGAGTGCGCATAACTTACTCGCCCATGGAGCCCGTACAAGACTCGACTTCCAGCTTTGGCGTGGCACTGCACACAGCCCACCAGAGATACTGCATCAACGCATACAAACACACATGTATATGCTTGCCCACGGGATTTTATGCCGTTCCCGGTACTTCACAAGCCTGCACTGGCGCATCCTGCCCACTAATCTGAAAGACAGATGAAACTGTCGCTCTCGTTCGCCCCCGCATTGCGGTTCGCCCACGTATTTGTGACTGGTCCCGCAGGTGGATTCGCAGACACATTGTTTGGCATGAATCTGCTGTTCATGTCTGTATTTATGTTTATGTCTCTCTTTGAGCTGGCGTTTGCCTCGCCTGTACTATTCTTCGTACTAGCATAGCCTGTGGCCTGCGTATAGGCCCCTGCATTAGTACTCTTTAATTGTCCACTATTAGCCATGCCATGGTCAGTCGGTAACCCATCGAAAACAATACCTTGCGGTGTAGCAAACGACCCCCTAGAGCTGCCTCTATTCGCATTCAGACCTCCGCCCGAAGTCGAGCCCATGCTGTAGTTGCTGTTGTTCGTGTTATGACTGGGGCCTAAAGCGGGATAATCATATACAATCGGGCTATGTATATTGCTGTTGTTGCCCTGACGATTCCCGCTATCCCTTAAAGGGTAGTTCCCGGCCGTGGATAAATTATTCCTGAACCCGTTGATACTGCTCAGTTCAGCATCGGTAGCGTCAGTCATTATATCATTCATACTCCTCTCTGACACCGTGCCTGACGCCAAGTCCCCCGAAGTGATACGACGATGCCGTCCCCCGCTGTCCGTAACACTCGTGGTGGTCCAGCTGTGCTCCGGTATACGCTCGTCGCCACCGCGCGCGGCGCGTGCCCGAAGATCGGAAACGGAGTCCCGCAAAGTACCGAACTTGCTCACACTCGTCTGGCCGGTATCCTCGCTGACATGTCGTGCATTCTGATCCGCGGCGAATCCCGCGCTACTACCATGGCCCAACCCACCCCAGGTGCCAAACAGGACGCTCCCGCCCCCTTCCCCGCTGTTCGCACTGCCACTGAATGGCATGGTACTGTCGAACGGCATAGCTACACTTGTACCGAACTCGCCAAATCGCGGTGTAGACCCTGCACTCATACTCTCTCCCCCGGACACGTACGGCGCAGTGAGACCAAGCCCCCCGCTCGTATCTGGATTCCTGTTGTTCGGATTCGAATTCGGGTTTGGGTTTGGGTTTGGGTTTGGGCTCAGTCCTGATTGTGATCCTATTGAGCCCCCAACTCTTATACTCCTGGTCCTATTCGCAGTTGTGGAGCCAATCTCGTTCTCCAGCCCACTCCCGAATTCAAAGCCGTTGTCTCTAGGTAAACTATACCGGGATGTGTTATCATCCGTAGTCTTAGACATGTTGCTCAGATAAAACGCACTCACCGTATCTAATGGTAGCTGTGCCTGATCCCCGTCAGCACCATCGCTGCCGCCCAACAATGGTATGTCCATGGATGACAACAGACCTGTCGAGCGTGGCTGTAAGGAGAACGTATCGGTAGAAAGTCCGTTTAGAAAGTTGTGGGAGCTGTTTGTGCGAACATGCGCACTAGCACTCGAGAGGCCTAGATAGGGGTTTCCCGCAGGTTGCCGTGTTTGTGCTACACCGTGACCTGCAACGGGCGAGTCTGACGGTGCACTAAAGTTGTCTAACGCAGACATGTGAGACAACGGCGAGTGATTGGTTGTCGTCGGATTGCTTGCGCTCCGGTCATTGATCGACGCCAGCCGATTGGCTGAGCTTCCGGTTCTATTTATAGCACTCGAGTCTCGAGCCAGATGCGTGGGTCGCGGCTGGGACATCCTTATTCGCGGTGTAGGTAGATTGCTGAGTTGTTGCAGCAGTGTCGCGTTGTAGTCTCTGGTAAGCGTAGCTACAAGTTGAACAAAACAAATGACGGAAGATAAAGATAGGGTCACATAGAACAAGAGTTTGACTATCCCGCGGCTAAGCACAGTCCGGAATAGTCGATTCAGACCTAAAAAGCACTTAATATCAATTAGGCTAGGCGATTTGAGATATGGGGCTCTGAGTTACGCACCAATGCTGCATTTATATATCTCGACACGTATATGGTCATCTGGATGTATCACTCATTAATTGGCTAACGGGCCTTTAATGTAACTTCAATTTGACATACTTCACACTCAAATACGTGCATAATATATTAATTTATATATATATATATATATATATATATATATATATATATATATATATATATATATATATATATATATATATATATATATATATATATATATATATATATATACCCTATATATATAAATATATATATATATATATATATATA